TTTTTGCTTCAAATTCTGAAGATGGCACTCTAACAATGAAAAGGTTTTGGCTCTTGTGGAAAAGAAGAAAGAAAGCTGAATGTCAAACTGTTGGAAATGTTAAGAAAAGTTGGCATGTTTAGTCAGTACATATATAAACAGTGTAGGGTTGAGAGTTTGTTGGCAATGAAGAATAATCTAATAATGTTTTGTATTCCATTGTACATACCAGGAATACTGCAGCTTACTCAATTATCTTTGGAGGAAAGGTGCAAATAGGTTTTTCCCACTAAGAGATCGTTTTTTACACTTCATAGCATCCCTCTTTTTTAATGGCCCCTGAGCTTCTAGATGGGCTTCATCACTTCTGTTTATCTGTTGCCTCATGGTCTCCTACTTTTATGGTATCTATGTGAGTTTGGGGTTTTTAATTTTTGAAATCTGTAGCTAAAAATGGATTTATTACACAGTGTAATAGTGTAAAAGTGTAGCCAGCTTTGCAGGATGTCCAACCTGTGTCCTTGCTGCCCATTCTAAAGAAAATTGTCCTCACTTGTTCTGAATGGCCGTTTGGTTTCATGCCCTGTTTTCAAAGGAGGAGATGAGAACCATGACTGTGTTTTCGCAAGTGTTTGCCCACCTCTGTCAGTTAATTTGTCCCTGAATCATGCTTGTGTCTGTCCAGCAAAGGTGCCCTGGCAGGGCTGTGCTCATTTATGCCCTTCCTGGACTCCTCATGGGAATTAGAGGGTCACCTTCCATCCTTCCTTCACATGATGCCAGTGCTGCCCCCACAGACGTTGTGTCCTCTGTGGGCAGGGTCCAGGCGAGCCCTGCAGTGACTAAACTATGATTGAAACCATGGCATAAAGCTCTGTTTTATGTGAGTACAACTGGTAGGAACAGCTGTGTGCTCGAGCAACTTCTGAGCCAAAGCACAGCTGTCAAACAGGCAAAGGTGACTAACGTGGTGATATGAGAACATGCCAGGACTGAGCACCAGAAATCATGGTACAGGGAATGCAGTTACTGAAATGAAGGCTTTAGAAGTCAATCAGCAAATCTTGACTACCTTGAGAAACCTTGAAGGAACTTCATTTTCAGGAAGTGGAGCATGCTTGGCCTTGAAATTCTGTCTGACAAAAAGATTCTTGTGGGACACAAAAATGCCTAGTTATCTCAAAATAGCTAATCATAAGCCTCTTGCATAAGTCTGTGAATTTCAAGCTCTCTCTGGTTCCACTAGATGAAACCTGCCTACCTCTATATCTCTATATAGTCATGAAACTGAAAATAGAAGGAAAAATACATTGTAGAAGTTGTCAGTGTCTGTACCATGTATAACAAAATATATGGCATTGTTTAAAAATCTATGCCTACTCCAGAAACACATTATTAATAACATAAAGAGCCTGACACTGGCAGCTTACATTTCATTTTGTCACCAAAGCCCCATGTTTCAATGTGTGGCTGCAGTATCTTTTAGAAAGCAATATGTGAGAAAGGCTCCATATCTCCTCTGTGGGATGACAACAAAAACACCACTCTAGCCTATTTTTAAGATCTGCTTTTTTTTCTGAGGGTGGGATTTGTTTTGATTTTTATCCTTTTTCCTTGACATTTACATAACTACAAGATTGCACCTGAGACACACAGGGTCCTTCAGCAGTTCTGAAATCACTGGCGCTGGTGGCAGGGGCAGTATTTTTGGCTTTGTGGTGATATATATAATCAGAGGATACCTTTTACAACTTTTAAAAGTAAGGAAAATTTGTTCCAGCAGGAGCAGACTTCTTAGAGCTTTACACAAGCCATTTTTAAGTTGTTCTTTTTGGTAAGATAATCATCCATCATCATTTTTTTGGCCAACGTATATTCCATTTGGGCGTGCAATGCAAGCATAGCAAGGCCACTGTGAGTACTCAATTTGATTAATCAACTCAATTAAGATAGGTAGCAGCAGTTAACATTCTGTTTTGTGGTGCTGGAGCAGTAACAAAATAGCTCAGTAACTGGTTTGCAGACCTGATTTCCCCAGCTGGCCGGAATCGGCACAGTCCCAGAGACCTTCCTGGCCAGCAGGTGATGAAGTTCATCACTTCCCAGTGCTGTCCCAGTGTCACAGGAGGAGCACTGGAGGCCAAAGAGGCACTGCCAGGAGCTTCCCAATGCCTGTGGGACAGCCAAGCCTTGGCTGTCATTTTGGTGGCATCCAGGCAAAACCTCAAGGCTTGGCCACGGCTGCTGATTGCAAGAGCAAGGTCCTGGTTTGCAGTGCCTGGGCATGTCCCGTGCTGGAGTCGCAGAGCAGAGCACAGCCAGCAGGACACACTGCAGTGAGGGATTGCAGAGCCAGGCATGATGTCTTGCCTCGGTTCTCTTGCTAACAGGCCAGTAAGAAAAATAAGTCCCTTGTGATTTATGCTTGCAGAGTAATCTCCACAGTGATGTGAAATATCACGGTTCAAATGGGTAAGAACAATGATGGCTGTTACCGCTTTTGACAGGCAATGGGTTTGGAGCTTGGTGATGAATTGCATTCTGTCTGAGGTTTGTTCAGCCCACTTATCTTCAGGATGTCATTTTGGGTTTTGTTTTTTTGTCTGTAAGAAAAAAATCTTTTAAGTCTTTGGTTTGATGTTGGAGACTTAACAGTTTCTGTTCGGTAAAACGTTTTGCTTTCTTGTGATATTTTCCTGGAATTTGGCTCTGCACTGGTTCCTAAGTAAAAGTTTTGTATGTTTATCCTGCTTTGATAAGGTAGAATACTGTTCTTTCTTTTATCTTTAATTTTATTTTAATTGGACTGCCAACAAAGATACCTAATTATAGGAGGAATTTTAGTTTTGACACATTTCAAGCTAAAGTATCACTAAGACACATAAATATGTCTCAATTTCAGACTTGCAATTACATTTAGAGAAGGGAAAACCATATTTTATGTCAGATAACACAAGACCCTGAGATATTACAGGCATGGAATTATTATCCCTTGACCTAGCTCTGTGAAGCTGGTGGTGAAGAATTTTCTGGAAGGATATAATTTCAATACAATCAATTTCAAATTCAATTAAGGGTGCATCTTGAAAAGTTTGTCAGAGCTTTGCTTAGTCTCCTTCAGGAAAAAATACTGTCCAGCCTCTCTTAAATCCTCTCTTGGAATGTGTCAAGCTGAAATATGGATGGGGTGAAGCAATAGCCAGTGCATGGCTGGGAAAACCCCTTTTTGGCCAGAGGGCTCTGCTTGGCCAATTGCAACAAGTTCAAGGAGAAATACCAGTAACTTCTTTTAATAACTAAGGTCCTTTGTCATGGCTGAAGGTGGTAAAACTAAGTTCCAGACTGGCAGAAGAAAGTGTGATTTTAATTGTATTTACATAATCCTCACTGCATTGTTAGTTTTGCAATTGGTTTTCTAAAGCCAAACCGTTCCACTACAATAACCCTGCCTTCTTCTCCTGCCTTGGTCCCATTGCTGCATGAAAATCAGCACAACAGGGTCTTGCTGGACTCGAGTTTTGCTCCCTTTTCAGTCAGTGACACCACCTCTTTAGCTGCTTATTTCTTTGGGAAGTAGAGCCAAGCTTTAAGACCTTAAAATTTCCTCCGCTTCTAATTTCACTGGCGTCGAGTTCTGACCAGTTAATAAAATGTCTTTAGTGCTGCAGGTGCCTCACTGTTTATTTTCATTAGTGTACCAGCTGCTATTTTTAGCTCTTTAGTCTTTGGCTTGAATGAATACCAGCACAGATCTTAAACCATAATAAACATATGTTTTTAACCTTGCCCTTTATTTTTACATCTCTGTATCCAAATAATCAGGATGTGGTTATCTGTGAAGGTAGTAGAGTGCTACTTCAAATTTCAATGCACACCCACAAACAAAAATATACATTGTGGAGGGTTCCAGCTTTAAAAACACCCAGGCAGACCTCTGTGTTTATGTCAAGCAATGGGGCTGAGAGACAGTGGCACCAGGTGGCTTAGTGCTTTGACTTTGTCCTTTGATTCCAGTGAACTGTCTGCCTCACCCCTGCAGAGTAACCAGCAGCTTTCTTCCTAACTGCCCATCCCCTATGGACAATAATAATAATAATAATAATTTATTGTGTGTATATATAAATTCATATACTCTTTGTGTTTCTGCTCTGCCAAGTGGAGACTCAGCAAAGAACTGCAGTATAAGACTTGAATTATGAATTGAAGTCTGAATTATGCTCTGGGGCAGGACCTGGAGACAGAGAAAACAGCAAATTAGCAGATGCCTTTGGCAAAAGGCCCCAGCCCAGCTCTTCCTGACATCACCTGAAAAACTCCTGCCTGGGGAATTGAAGGCACATAAGGTTTAAGATCGGGATCGTAACAAGGACTTAAACAATGTAGGCTAAACCTGTGTCCAGAGGTAACCAAGCACCTTCCCCATCCTGAGCCTCCCAAAACTCCCTGCATTATTTAAAGGCTTGGTGGGCATCTGCAGTTCTGCAGCTGTGACACATGGTCAGAGCGCCACCAGTCTCAGCAGCACAACCCTCTGCAAGCTCATTGTGAATAATTTTATTGCAGGATGCCACTGGAGGTTGTGGCTCCCACTAAATCATGTTGAGAACTAGCAAAATTCAGCCTTGCCTTCAAAATACGTGAGGGTACATGACTTGTGTCACAGGGGCATCCTGGGCTACAAGTCAAAGGCTCCCTGCTTACAAGACAGCATGCAGTTCATCTGGTTTTAAGGCAAATTTGCACTCCGCACTGCTGCTGCTGCAAGGATTGCACCTCTGTGCAAAAAGGAATCAAAAGATTGGCAGGGCTGTGTAGGAAGGAGCAGAGGAGGGAGCTGATGCTGCATGCAAGGGTGAGGAGCATTCAGCTGGCATTCTCTTCATGCAGTGACTCTGACAGATAAAACTTATTAACAGCCATGGGGAGAGTCTCCCTTTGTTTTTTACTTCTTTAAGACCTGTGGAGCAAGACTCCTCAGGGGATGCAGCTGTGGAGTAATTTACAGATTGTTCTCCTTGCAGATGCTGCAGTTCCAGCTGGTGGTGGCGCATTTGGCCCTGGTGATTGCCCTGCTGTGGTGGAACTCCAGCTCTGTGCTCCTTGCACAGGCAGCTCCAGAGGTAGGTGAAGGTTCCTGATGGTTCCTGTTCTTCCTTGGGCATTCTTAGCCACAGAAGAGGACACTGGGGTACCCAAACACTGTTGGAAGGTGTAGGATCAGAATTGACCCTGTAAGGGCCAAGGAGGAGCCTCAAGAAGAGAGAGAGGCAAATTGCATGTCTGTAGGGCAACAGACTGAATGAGGCCTCACCCAAACTCTGACAGCCTCTCCCAAACACCTGGGGATTTCCTGTGTGTTAAAACATTGTCCAGTGGATGGAGAACTTCCTGAAGAGGGGAAGGAGGTGATGGAAGGGGGAAAGCAAACTTCTCTAACACTGGAGGGAAAGTTTGATTCTTCTTCTTACAATAATAGCATGAGAAGGCTGAAGCTTTCAGAAGCCATAAGGAGATCCCTGGGAGAAGATCATCTGCACAAAAATTACAAATTAAAGGAGATGGACTAGACCAGGAGGGGGAGAGAACAAAGTCACTTGCCTAAGCTTGCAAAGGAAAGCAGCAGATGAAATGGATGAGTTGTCTCACATTTCACCCAGGATAATATGTAGGGGTTGCACCTGAAAATACTTCTACTGCATTCCCTATTTTTGTGTCATCTTGACATAAGGCAGATTTGGCTGAAAAGGTATTTATATAATGGTTTCATGCCATAAAAAAAAAAAGTCATGTATCTAAAAGTTAACTGAAAGTAGCACTGTTTGCCTCTAGGGTTTTTACATAGGTTTTAAGATCAACTTAAACATTAGATGGCTACTGAAGAATACTGATGGATTCCTCTGCCTTGCTCTCTGTTTTCACACAAGCATGACCTGATTCTCCAAAACACACCTGGTATCCTGCCCCCATCAGTGATAGATTTTTGTGAGAAGAATATAAGAACAGAAAATCTTTGCAGACTTGTATATCTAGAGACCTTCACTGGACCAGGTCATGTTTATCTGATGATGGGCCAGAATCTGTCTTTGAACCAGTTTAAAATCTCAGTATCCACAACAATCTATGCCAGTGCTTTCTCTTCATCTGTGTGCTGTGTTTAAAAAGTAACTCTTTATATTTATTTTAAATCCACCATCTGGTGACTTCACTGGGTGTACTGGGAAGCTCTTTCTCTTGAGGAAAAAAATTGCTAGTTTTTATTCATTTCATTGCTGTTCTCAAGTTTGCAAACCTTCCACTATACCACCTACACCCACTCTCATCTCTGCTTATCTGTGAAATTGTACTTTTTTCAGTGGTTTACCAGAAGAAAACTGTTTTCTACTTGTGATTATCATTTTAGCAGTCACTTTACTTCTTACAATTCCATTACATCTTTTGAATACAAAGTAAGTGGAGTTGCAAGGTATTCAAGAGCAAAAGGCTCTTTTTGCCCTTCTAATTTCAACTGTTATTGTAGGTATTTATCCCCACTAACCAGAAGGAAGGGTTCAGTCTTTTTTGAAGGTATCATTCAGTTGCAAACCTCTATGAAAGTTCTGTAACTCTAAAAGAGAGCAGAAAGGACTGTTCTGTGTACTTGAGGCTTACAAAAAGCAGAGTCAGGGGACAATGCGAGATCCTTTATAGAGATTTCACACCATTGGCGTGATCACTGTGCTCCTGTGCCCCTCCTCACATGAAGGTCACAGTTTTATGCACTCCATCACTGCCTGCCCCCCATCAGCAGCGGGGAACATCCCCCCCACAACTGGAGATGACAAGGATATGGCATCATCCATGTGCTGCCCTCCTTCACGCTGTACTAAACCCACCATGCACGAATAACAACAATAGCAGTGTGCTTCTAAGGAGAATAAAACCTGTTTGATGCTGTAAGCTGTAATGTTTCCATCTAATTCTGTCAAGATCAAGTGAACAAGAAGGTGCATTTCATTCCAAGAGACAAAGATCTGAGCTTGTTTTTGTTGACTGTCTGCTGCCCTGTATTTTTCTGCCACATGCAAAGCAACTCTTTCACCTTGATTCATTTCATTTCTTTCCCAATAGACCCCAGTATTTTCAGCTATTCTTATAGCAAAGTTTGGATTTGAAATGGTGTTAAGCCTAATGGTGGAATTAAGGTTCAAACTGCTGTGTCAATTCAAGAGTGTGTTCTTTCCTTTCCTCCTCTCCATGTTGTGTTACTGCATCATTTCTTTGAATGCCAGGGCTGAGAAAGTTTTTTTGGGGACATTTTTTGCATAACAATTAATTAATTTGTCAGATATGGATGGAAACTTCTGTAGAAGTTTTCATTACTACTTATTAGCATTCATTTAAAAAACAAAAATCAGTTTATTGAAAACTATCGGAATGGATATTGGAGTTGGGCAATGGTGATTGCGTTTTTCAGACGGATTAAATTACTCAGCTCATGCTATAAATGATACTAATCACAGTGCTGAGATAAGAATAGTGGGATGGCCTGCAGAAATTGGCTTTGTGAAGTAACAAATTTTGATATTTCTTGCAATAATAATGAAAGCAAGTTCAGTTCTATTAAAAAAGAATTCCAGACTCTGACAGCAAAATCCTATCTGGGGAAACAGGCCACATTTCAGAGAAGGATCTTTGTTTTAAAACATTGCCCCAATTTCAGTGAGTGTCCTGGTAGTTCTGTATTTACAGGACTGCTCCTATGACACTGATTGAATTCTTTTATTTCCTGGGACTTGAGCAGCCAGCAAACTGAGATTTTCCTGCTTTCTTCTGCAGCCTCTGGAGCCTCCTGCTGCTCTGGGTGTGGGAGACCATCCCATTGCCAGTGAGGAGAAATCAGCCACCAGCCTGGCAGCCAAACTGTTCCTGCTTGATGACTTGGTGTCTCTGGAGAACGAGGTGACTGAGACCAAGAAGAAAAGAAGCTTCCCAGGATTTGGCTCCCCCATTGACAGAATTTCCTCATCCTCTGTGGATGCTAAGGGCAAACAGAGGTAAGCTCTTAAATGCTCCTGCCAGTGATAAAGTTGGAGGAAGGCTGTTGCGGGGTGCTCTGGACACTGATGGGTTAGCTTTAAAATGTAGTTTAAAACTACATTTCTGACCATGAGCTTTGCTAAAGCAAGAAATGTGCCTGAGGTTCACGAGCAGAGGGGCAGGGCCGGGTGCTCCTGAGGCTGGGGTGGAAAGAAGGTGTGCTGGAGTGGATGTTTTGAACAGAAAGATGAAGGACACATCATGAAAATGGGCAGGCAAACACCAGAATGAGCTTCAAGACCTCCTTTAGCTTTGGATAAGTCAGGGTTTAAACAATGCAGCAATGTGTGTTTGAAGATAAACTTGTTTATAAGAGGGCTAAGCAAAGAATGATGCTCAGCGCGGCTGGAGAGAGACAGAGTTTGGGGCACAGCTTCAGGGGCTGCTCCCTGTGTGTGACAGAGCTTGCCTGTCTTGTTCTGCTCTTCTGGTAACTGTCTTCTCTTGGATGGAATCCCTAATGCCACAAAGTATTTAATAACATGCTTAAAGCTTAATCTGGAAATGGAAAGTATTCATGAGAGCCAGTCAATACTACAAGTATTTTTTCAAACAAAGTTTTGCAATATTTTCTTGTTGTTTTTCCATTTATCCACCCAGTCTGCCACTAGGACTGTTTGGCTGCAGCCAAAAGTGATAAAATACAAAATTCTTAAAACCTTAAGTAGAATTATACTGCTCTGTCTGCCTCTTCAAGATATCAAAATCAGCTCACTCTTCATTTGCTTTTTAGCATGTTTTCCCTTTCCAGGCAAAGAAAAAAAAAGGTAGTTTTTGAAGCTGTAATTTTTTGCAAAGGTACATGCTGTTCCCTATTTTTCTCTTTTTTTTTTTTTTGGATGGAAATCTTTCATTCTATACGCAGTACAAGGGAAAAACTAAACAAAGAAACAAAAAAAAAAATCCTCAAAACAACAGCAAAAAGCAAAGTACTGACCACCCTGTCACAGTGGCTCAGCCAGCAGATCACAGCTCATTCCTGTGCCCGCTGAGCTGGTCACCTTTAGAGACCAGGAAATTAATTTGTGAGATCTGATAAATAGATTGAGCCCCCCGAGTCAATGCAGTGCCTGGCACAAAGCAGAAAATTTTGGAAAAAAGCAGATCAAATGTTAGTCCATTCACAGCTTGTCCTGACACGCACCGATGTCAGGAGAGCCCAGATCCTGGTCTGCCATCAACATCCCTTTTTGTAGCATTTTGAAAGGCACGGGAAAATCGTGCAGGAGGCAGGAGAGAGAGAAAGAACCTGCGGGAATCCTAGACGAGGCTGTTTTAAGTAGAAAAAGCCACTTTGTCCCTGGTACGCCCCGGCACGGGGACGCTGCGGAGCGGAGCGCGGCGGGGCTGCGGTGGCGCGGGGCGGCCGCAAGAGGGGACGATGGGCTGCGCTGGGACTGCTCCATCCCTGCTGTGAGCTGTGGTACAGCCCCTCATCCCTGCTCTGAACACAGCATGGCACTGCTACACCTCCTCATCCCTGCTGTGAGCACTGGTACAGCTCCTCATCCCTGCTCCGAGCCCTGGTACAGCTCCTCATCCCTGCTCTGAACACAGCATGGCACTGCTACAGCTCCTCATCCCTGCTCTGAACACAGCATGGCACTGCTACAGCTCCTCATCCCTGCTGTGAGCACAGCTACAGCTCCTCATCCTGCTCTAAGCAATGGCACAGCTCCTCATCCCTGCTCCAAACACTGGTACAGCTCCTCATCCCTGCTCTGAGTGCTGGTACAGCTCCTCATCCCTGCTGTGAGCTGTGAGCACTGCTACAGCTCCTCATCCGTGCTCTGAACACTGGTACAGCTCCTTATCACTGCTCTGCGCACTGGTACAGCTCCTTAACCCTGCTCTGACCTGTGGTACAGCTCCATCCCTGCTCTGAGCTCTGCTACAGCTCCCCATCCCTGCTCTGGGCACAGAGCACGGCACTGGCACAGCTCACGGGGCAGAAGCACCGTCCCACCCCACCTTTGCCGTCCCCTTCCATTCCGGGGAGTTCTCTCCCCATTTCTCCAGGCAGGCTCGGGATGGCTCTGACAGCCCAAGGGTCCCGCCTGTGCCTCCCCACCCGCGGGGAAAGCAGCTCGTCCCTCGAGGTGCCAGGCTGAGCATCCTGCCTTGCCTTCCCTTTGCCTTCCCTGGGGCTCGGGCAGCGGTGCTGGATGCCTGAGGAAGGGACAGGCCAAACAAAAGCTCCCCTTCCTTTGGGATGTTCTCTAGCACTGATGTGGTGCTCCCCTCACAGGGGATACAGCACCAATTCCCAATCCCTGGGCTGATGTGGAAAGCAGCTGGGACAGAGCCAGCAGGGCTGTGGATGCTGGAATGGTGCATTGGATGCTGGAATGGTGCACTGGATGCTGGAATGATGCATTGGACTGGAATGGTGCATTGAATGCTGGAATGGTGCATTGGATGCTGGAATGGTGCATTGGATGCTGGAATGATGCATTGGACTGGAATGGTGCATTGAATGCTGGAATGGTGCATTGGATGCTGGAATGGTGCATTGGATGCTGGAATGATGCATTGAACTGGAATGGTGCATTGGAGTGGAATGGTGGTTTGGATGCTTGAATGGTGCATTGGATGCTGGAATGGTGCATTGGACTGGAATGATGCATTGGATGCAGCCCTGCCCCAGAGGTGTGAGGAAGGAGCCTGCTCAGTGAGCCCCAGGGCTGCACAGCTCTGGGTGGGTGTGCACAGCCCCAGAGCCCCTGGGTGAGGCAGCCCAGCAGTGCTGGCACCACGTTAGCCTCCAGTGCACCACAGCATTCTCTCCTGCTTGTTACTTTGCAGTTGCCAACTTACAGAACAAAATTTATTTTTATTTATGTTCCTCAACAAGGACCGATAAAGAATTAATCTCCTAGGGATTCTCTTGGACTTGCATTTCACTGACAAGTATTTCTGAGGGCAGAAGTTGAGGTCGTTCTCAGCTGCAGGAATTCTTGCCATTTCCACAGCTAATTAAAATAAAACTTTTGCTGGTGGAAAAAAATGCTCCAAAAATGCTGGATTAAGATGGGAAAACTTATTATTTTATATAAAAAGAACAGCAAAAAAAAATATAGCTGTGTAGGAATTCTTTCACACATTCCTCATGCCCTAATTAATTAATCAAATTGTCAGGAAATTTACTATATACAGGGAAAAAAATCAACACCTAAATCTTCCCATTTTCAATCAAAGGACTGCTCCTATAGAATTTTGATGAACACTATATTGCCAAAGAACCTATTGGAAAACCCTGTTAGACCATCTCTGTCTTTTCCCCTCTTACTGCGCAATACTTTCCACCTCCTTGCCAATCTTGGCCCCAGCTGGCCCTGGAGCTTTCAGAGACCCAGGTGATGGGTCACCTGCAGTGTGTGCTACTGTGCAGGAAACAATTCCCCTTTATAAATGCAGTGTATCACCTTTCTTTTATGAACAGCAGTTAACATGTGAAGTTAGTTTGCTGCCAAATAAAAACAGGGGTAGTGGATCAAGCTCAGCCAGTCTGTAAAGCAGCTGCAACTGCGGCCTTTTGTAAAACAAGTGCAGCATCTTATTTTTAAACCCTCACATCTCTGGCTGCCCCTGCCCACTGTTCTGTCTGAACAATAAGGTGTTAGTGGGATGAATGCAGAAATCAAACGTGTAGTAACACCTTGATTATTCACAGATGTATTTTCCCATTTGTTTCCTCCTCTCTGCTCATTTTCCTCATGCAGGAAAGTGCTGGAGCTGCCTAAGAGAAGGTTTGGAGTTCCTCTGGACCGGATTGGAGTGAGCCACCTCGGTGACACCAGGGGTTAGCAGCTCCTGCAGGTGAGCCAGAGCATCCCAGCTGTGGGCAGACTGGAGAACCAGATGTTCTCCGCTGCTAGAGGAACTCAGTCATGGCAGCAGGCTTGGGGAATGATGGCTTCTTATCCCTAATTTCCCACTGAGTACCTCTCTACAGACAAACAAACAAGTATTCCTAACATTTTGATCTCCTCCGCTCCACCTTACAGTGTGTTTGTCCAAGCCTTGCATTTCTGACATTGGAAAATGTAATGTTTACTGCCTTTTTTTTTTTTTTTTTTTTTTTTGCCTGCAGATGCTTCTATTCTGAATGAATATTGGAAACATTACAGAGTTTTGGAAGATGCCTCACAGCACGTCTTTTCTTTGCCTAATGATACAGCACTCAAGGAATTGACCTCCTGCAAAATCTGTTTCAAGTTGCATTTTACCAATGTTGCATTTACAAATAATAACACGTTCAGTTCATCAGGTCAGAATGCTCACAGCTGTGCACTGTGTCACTGGTAGGAGGGAACAGAGAATGTGTATATATTTTTATTGCATGGCATTTATCTGTTAAACTTGCAGAATTTTATTAGCACAGGCCGGACTGAGATTTTTGGATTGAAAATAAAACTTCCAGAGATGCCAACAGCAGTCCATGAAAAGCAAAGAGTTTGCTTTGCATGTCTCTTTCTGGAGGGGAGCTGATCAGTAGATGAAGGGAGGATATAGCAGTTATGGGACAAAGCTTTTGATCTGCTGTTTGGGTGGAGATGTTTTCTGCCCTCACTCGGAGTTACTCTGAATAAGAACAGTGACAGGATCTTAGTGTTTGTCCTGATGTTTTGAGTAATCTCTCTCTTATCTCTGCACCATATTTAGACATGTTTTCATCCTATGGCAGATCCTGAAATGTGGTGAGACTTTTAGTTGATGAATACATTTCACCCCTCCCTATGCATAACATAGGATAGTGTCCAAATATGAGGTCATCCACTTCCAAGGCCATCTGCATCTTGTGCCTTATTTTAGCCTCCTGATGTGTGCACAGGGCATGGTCAGAATCCAGCTCTAAAAGTTCAAGTATTTCTCACTCTGGCAAAATGTAAACATGTCCTCTCCACTTCATTTCAGGGTAAAACAGGTTATGTTAAATCCTCTTTCATCCTTTTCACTTCTTCCCAGATTATAAAATACAGCTGAGAAGAGCTCTGTGCTGACATCTCAATGCTCAGATTCTTAGCTGATGTTTTCTAAACCTCACATTCTCTCTTCTTCTTGGACTTTGGTCCATATCAGCTAAATTCCTTGGATTGCTATTCTGGGGTATAAATCATCCTTAGCATTGCAAAAGATGATCCATTGAGAAAGGGATTATGCAGGATTAAGGGAAAAAAATGTTATTCTTGCCAAACAGCCTGTGTTAGGCAGGAAGCAATGCTGGAGATGGGAATTAAGTGTTAATTTCCTGATTTTGTATGAGGCACAAAGGACCTGGCCATCAGCTAGCAAAAAAAAAAAAGAAAAAAAATTTAAAAAATTTTAAAAGTATACTTAAAAGCTATTGTAAGGATTGGGACTTTTGTACAATTGTCCTGGTTCAGCCATGGTGAGAGATGAGGCTCCCACTCAGAAGGGCAGGTGACATCTAATTCATGTGCTCAGACACAGCAGGGGCCTTTTCCATTTTCCTCCTTGCCTACAGCCCTGCCCAGACACCAAGACTGGCCCAGACATAGAAAATTTGCAAGAAACTTCACTTTTATTGATATTTCTAATATAGGCTGATGCTGCTGAGAGGAGCAGCACAAACCAGTGACTCACATCAAGAGGTGTCCCTGTCTTTGCCATCTGCCAGAGCACTGCAGCTGAGCTAGGAGACCATTCCCCCTTTGGTGGGTGAGCTGTCCGTGCTGAAGCACTGCAGATGCTTTCCAGATCAAGCCCTCAGAGGTCACAGAAAAGAAGAAGGCCTGTAAGTCCTTATGTGATGATCTTGGGTTTCTGCTTCCTGCTTTTCTCCTGATCACACTGCTAATTTTCTGCCTTTAAGCCTCCAGGTGAAGGGTGAGATGTGGGCTTGGTAGGTGCATGTAGACTGACTGACTCGAGAGTTTCAGCCCATGCTAGGAGCAAGCCTGCAAATGCATTGCCAGGCAGTGCATTGCCACCATCCATCCTCAGCCTGCCTTGCAGTTTAGGGAACATTTATCTTCTTGCACTGACCTCATCCAGACAGGCTGCAGATAATCAGCTTGCAGGGCAGCCATATGTGTGGGGCATGGGCAGATTATGGAAGTGCTGACCTGACCACTCAAACAGCTGCCAGCCAAAAGAGCCATGGACAGAGTCAGTGCCTGACACATTTTTGGAGAGAGGGCAGAGGAATCCAGTGCAAACACAGCAGCTTTGCAAAGACACTGCTGGATCATAGAAGTATTTAATAATTGGCAGGTATTAGCTGGGGTTTCCAAAAAAAAAGGCAGTTTTAAAGGCTGAAAGTTGTGTGCAGAAATGGCCTTCATCTGAAGGGAAATGTGAAAGCAAAGCAGGACAGAGGGGTCTCTGGTGGTGTTGGTAGAACTGGGAGCTGGAAGCTTCAGTCCTGCTTCCACCCCACTGTGTGGATTACCTGGGAGAAAGCAAGAGTCTTTCTGTTCTTTTGTTCTTTCATCCATCACAGAGCACACTGAGACTGCTTGTGGCTCAAGAAGCAGTTTTTAAAATCTCTAAATTGGCAAGTGCTGTTTCAAATATGATGATGTCTGAAAGGCCAAACACCACAATTTGGTTTTCTAGACAATGTTGGATGGCTCCAGCCCTAGTGCACAGCATGGAGATCAGCAAATGTGAAATGAGGATTAATTGCAACATCCGTTGCACACTAGACTTGCCCTGTGCTGCCTGGATTTGCAAATCCATTCAGATGTCTGTAAGGATTTTCTCCTAATAAATCCACATGATCTACTGGAATGTCTCAGGGAAATCCCTTTAATTATTGCCTGTGGGTCATTAACTTTAGCAAGAGTGACTGCCCAAGCATGGGTAGGGTGTGAGCAGCCGCTCTGTGGAGGTGAAGGTTTCTGCTCTGGGTGTTCAGGAGAAAGGACAGGACCCTCACACTGCCATGCAGAGGGTAAGCCTGGGGAGAACACCACCTCTGCTTCTAATTAGTTAATAAATTGCATTCAATACATGCTGATGTCTGCAGCACAAGCAGCTAATACAGCAGCATGGAGTGCCTATCAGGAAATAGGGGGTAGTTTGGAGCACTTAAATAACCACACTGATAGGATGTAGCAGAAAATCACTACTAAGCAGCATGATGCATTGCACTCCAGGGAACTCCTGTCCAGGGTCAGAGCAAGCTGTTAAATATCTGCAGACACACAGTATTCATTTTCCTGACTTGCTGTTGAGCTGTCACACTGGCTCAGGAAGAAGGCATGGCTACAGCAAGCAGGTGGCAGATGGAGCTGCTGCTCTGGCCTTTCCTTACCCTGGGATTTCCTGCAAGCTGAAATCATCTGAGCTCAGCACCACCTTGGGGCACTCAGTGCAGCTCTTGGAACACACCTCCCCTTCAGCTGGAGCACCAAACCTTTAAAGGAAGAGAGAGACTATTCTTGTCCATAGGTTATAATTTTTTCCTGGATTTGGTGCCAGTGTGAGGGTATGTGAAAGTGTGTTCCCACATACTTTTTCACTCACACAAAAGCAACAAAGAACAAATGGGAAATGGGCTGTGAATCACCACCAAAGAAATAACAAACAACTAATGGTAACAGGAAACTGTATTTTGCATGTCATTAGAACTCACTGATATAATCAAGCAAGCTGGCCTCATTCCCTAGATGCTGGCTTTGGCCTCCAAAGGATGAATAGGATTCCTGTTAATGAAGTGTATGCAAGGTGCTGCTGTGGTAAGCGTGTGCTTCTTGCCAGAGCCCAAGGCAATGAGTGTAGGATGGCAATTACAGCTTTGGGAGAGGTAACTTTGGAAGAATATGTAAAATGCAAGCTGCAGTTAAATCACATGGCTCAACAGAGCTGGAGAGACAGTTCAATGCTAGTCAAAATCATTCCACACATTCACAGTGGCCACCAGATCCTGCTCTCATTTAAGTTGTTGGAAACTTCGAAGTTAACATTGGGAATTATTTTGAATTTACATTTTGGGAACGAGGTCCTTTGCTTTTGCAAATAAATGTGGGTAATGTGACTTGAGATGAATATATGTAGGAATCACTAATGGATTGTGATCTTTTCCTTTTGAACAGGGCCAGATAAAATTTTGCAGTAGAAAAGGCCAGCTAGCACCTGCATTGACCAGCCAGATTACCAAAAATCTCTGCTCAAAACATCTCTTTGGGGTGAGTAGGTAGAGACCATTGGGTCTGGTCCAGTCCAGTGAGGACAGTATCCCATAAATAGCTATGAAAAAGACCCAGCTCTCATTCCTGTTCTGGCCAAAAGGATATCTGTTTCTCAGGCCCATTAAACCCATAGGTGTTTAATGGGAGCCTTTCTTCCATTGTGAACTCCACATGACCCATTAGGGTAACAGGAGCCAACATCAAGGGAAATGTGCTGCACTTTGGGTCCCTGCAGGGGCTGAGAAAGCAAACACTGAGAAACACATGCTTCTGTGCAACAGAAAATCTTTATTGGAATGGTATCCAAAGGATCCAGAGCTCCCTGCCTGCCCTCCCCTGTGCACACTGAGGGACACGGCAGGAGCAGCCCTGGCTCAGCAACCCAGCCCTGAGCCCTCCACATCACACCAGCCTGCCCTCATGTCCCAGCAGCGGCCACCAGGGCAGCACAGAGCTGCTCAGGAGGGGACAGGAATAACCCAGACACTGCTGGGAGCAGCGTCTGCAGGTGTGGGCAGAGCCCCAAGCCCAGGGAAGCTGAGTTAGTGCTCAGTGCCTCAGGGACCTGGTGAGGAGGGGGAGAGTGCACAGTGACAGCAGCCTGAATGGCACACACAGGACAGCACAGAGAGTTGGGAAGCATCTTCT